TATCTATCTATCTATCTATCTATCTATCTATCTATCTATCTATCTATCTATCTATCTATCTATATGGTAGTCTTGAACAATACCGTGTTTCTCCAACAATACGGTCTCCCCCAATAGGAAGACCCAGCATGTTTTCTAGGCATAAAATTATATTAAGCCCCTCCCCCCAAATTTAGGCCTATTTTAAAACATGCAAAATGGGGGGAAGGGCGGGGGGACTTGCCGTTAGGAGTGCCCCGTGGGTAGCCATGCCTTGCCACCAGCTGCTCCTAATGGGTGATTACGGCAGAGCACGGAGAGCTCCCTACTCCTGCCAAGCACGTTTGCTGCAGACCCAAGACCTTCAGTGCTTGCCGCTGTTGATTTCCCTTCTGCCCATACCGCCACCACGTTTGGAGCTGCCACTTCTACATTTGGAGCACTGCCGCCGTTTGGAGCTGCCGCTTCTGCATTTGGAACTGCTACTGCGTTTGGAGCACCGCCACTGCATTTGGAGCTGCCGCTTCCATGTTTGGAGCGCCGCCGGTTTGGAGCTGCCACTGCGTTTGGAGCACCGCTGCATTTGGAGCTGCTGCTTCCATGTTTGGAGCACCGCTGCTGCTCCAAACGGCGGCAACACTCCAAACGCAGCGGCAGCTCCAAACGCGGAAGCAGCAGCTTCAAACATGGTGGTGCTCCAAACACAGAAGCAGCAGCTCCAAACGCAGTGGTGGCATGGGCAGAAGGGAAAGCAACAGCAGTGGGCGCCGAAGGTCTCAGGTCTGCAGCAAAGGTATTTGGTGGGAGTAGGGAGCTCTCTGCGCTCTGCCATGATCACCCATTAGGAGCAGCTGGTGGTGAGGCTGCCCGCGGGGCGCTCTAGACGAGGATGCAAGGGGGGGAATTAAGTCACCCCTGAAAAGATGGCCTAGCCATTTTTTCGGGGCTCAAAAAAATGAAAGACCCGGCCTTATTTTATGAGAAACACGGTAGAAAAACATAGCTGTAATAGAAAGAACACAAGGATGATTTGGCTCTAGTTGTGATGGATTAGTAGTTAATTTAGCTCACATCTTTCCAACAAGAATCATGTTCACAACTATTCTTTAGGTAATTGAATTAAAGGCTTACCGTACTTTTAGCTTTTGTTATTTCAGCTTATTTATTTTTATTTTAACTTATTCTAATAAGCTTCATCATCCAGCCCAGATTTAACCAGGACAAGGTATCCAAACTCAAAACATTATTATTCTACTGTACGTTTAGAAAATAAACATTTGTTGAAAACCAAATTTTAATTTCATTTAGAACAGCTACATTCAATATTCAATTCAAGCAATTTGTAGAAGGAATGCTAATACTTTATTCAGAACTCTCACAAAATAGCTTCTCTATTCACAAAATTGTTGTCTGGCTGATAATACAAAATTGAGAAGATATCATTCCCATCATTTCTATGTGTTGAAGACTTTTTTTTTTTTTTTTTAAAAAGAAAAATCTCCAAGGGCTGGAAGGAACCTTGAAGATCTTCTAGTCCAACCCCTGCCCATGGCAGGAGTCCTTGTTTCATCCTGGACACATATGAAGAAGGTTTGGCAGGGACTTTGTTAATAATGTACTATCACTTTCTTTTTAATTTGATGGCTATGTTTTTTTTTTCTTTTTACTACTCTCAAAACCAGTACTAAAAGCAAAAAATAATAATAACAATCTCATTTTCTTGATCTGTGAAATAATTTTTTAAACATTTCCATATTACAGTAGGTGCCCAATGACTAAGGATTACAGTTGTGATGGGGCAGCACCGTCACAGAAGGTATGTTTTGTGCAATAAAGGACCCAGATTCAATACTTGGCAAGTCAAATGGACACTTCAGGCATCCTAACAATTTCCATCTCAAGCAGTGAAGCACCGTATTTAATTAAAATAGATGGGGCATTACTTGACATACCAAAAAACAGTTTGCAAGACAAAGCAAATCCAAATCTATAAGTAGATTGCTTCAGGGGTGAGATTCAAATTTTTAACAACCGGTTCTGTGGGCATGGCTTAGTTGGTGGGTGTGGCTTGGTGGTCATGTGACTGGGTGGACGTGGCTTGGTGGTCATGTTATTGGCTGGGTGTGGCCAATTCAATATCACTCACATCGAGGCACGCATCTCCTCGCCTGGCCTCTCATGACTATGGAGATGCTTCAACAGTCGTAAGTGTGAAAAAGGGTCATAAGTCACATTTTTCAGTGCCATTGTAACTTTGAATGGTCACTCCACACAAGCAAAGTACCAGCAAAGGAGGGAAAAAAACTCCAGAGAAGTTCCTGAGACAGGAAGTCTAGTCCTGCCAAGAATGTAATAAGGGTTAACGGAGAGGCAGTTTCTGTAAGCAACACCAGAATGTTTCCTTTCTGCCTTCCTTACAGGATTAGGCCAGTAATTTCTTCTAACAACCCATTCTCCAAACTGCTTAGAATGTTAACAACAGGTTCTAGCGAATAGGTGCAAACTGGTAGAATCCCATCCCTGGATTGCTTCCCCCACAAAAGTCCAGTTGTAAATTCCCCGTTTTTTTCTAGAAAATGTATACAAGGACAGATTTACCAGTAGGCTCTTGATGGTGAAGCTCATCTGATTCTCAACAACTAGTAGGACAATGAAGGGGAAAAAGGCCAGGATGTAGACCAGGCAGCCAACCAAAGCAGCAATGTTTGTATTGTTGAAGAAAACACTAATGAGATAGCACATGGCTATGATGGAGAAACTGTAGTCCAGAACGTACAGGAACAAGATCATAACATTTATTTTTGGAAGGATATTCCCAAATTTGAGAATAAAAATAAGAAATATGTTAGTAAGCAGGAGAAATATGATGCATTCAATGAACCAAGCAATGAAATGGCTGCTGGAATTTACACCCATCATCTTCATATACTATGGAAAAGAAAAAATTGAAAACTTGTTAATGAGTAAAATGCATACTCTATAGTTCAGTTATAATCCTTAAATACCAAGTCATTAAGATACATTTTATCAACTTCTCTTCCAAAACAGAAAGGTTCAATATGCATTATTAGTTTCACTTCTATAGCCTTGGAAATGCTAGTCTATAGGTCACATGCAAATGTCAACCCAATACAGCTCATGCTTCATGAATTGTGGATCAAATCCTTTTCCAACCCCAGTTCCTATTGTTGATTCTCAGACCAAGAGATAAGCTAGAACACCTCTTATCTGCTTGTTTTACATGCCTGATCAAATATGCAGATCAATGGATAGCTCCTGGTTTACCATATGCTCTCCACACAGAGATTGTTGAAATGCATTAGTTATCATTCTGCCAATTTGGCAGAATGTCCTTTTTCCTCCACTAAATTTTAATAAACAGAGAAGTGGAAGTCTCTAGCTTGTAATGGACTATTTTAAAAACTCAGCCAAATAATTAAATAGCAAATAGTTTACCTCCTCTCTCAAAAAACAAAAACAAAAACAGTCCCTCATTTTAGTGGAAGCCAATCCATTGAACAAATCACACAGTTCTTTCTGAAATAGGGCCAACTTAAAATCCTGGGGTTGTTTTTTTTTCTTCTCTATTGCAAACATTCATAAAATAATTGTTAGCTGATAGATAGTCTTAATCTGAGAAGATTTAATGGATTTCAGTGCTGTCAGTTAGTAAAAAGTACTTCGCCCTGGTTACTTAAAACACTGCCTTGTTTTATTTAAGTACAGAAAATCTAAGAACCAGCTTTTTATTTCATGCTGTATTTATAGTGCAGGGTACTCACTCTCTTACAGAATAATCTAATTCTCTTACATTTAATACAAAATAATATAAGAAATCCTGAGAATGAAGCTTAAGGGCTGCCATAACATTACATTATGATCTAAAATAACCCTAAATGGGAAGATATTAGGTGTGTTTTTTTTAAATCCCTACTCTAGTAGAAAATAGGGCTGCCCTTGAAGACCACTCAGAAACTACAATGTCCAAAATGCAGAAGCTCAGCAAGTTACGTATGAGAATCAATTTAACCACATAACACAACTACTCTGAGAGCTACACTGGTTACCAGTTTGCTTTTGGGTATGCAAGTAGCTCTTGAAAAATGGCAGGCCACTTAACAAATATTCAAAATTATGACAGATGGGGAGGCGTTATGACAGCAGTAGTACTTCCACAAGTTATTCACTTCGTGACAGACCAGAGGATGCTGCAGAGCCCCCCCACACACACCTCTCTTCCTCCCTCCATCCTGCCCATCCTGCCCCACAGCACTTAGGCTTGCTCCCCATGCCACCCGGAAGCAGTCAGTATTTTCAGGGCCTTGATAATTCCTTGCAGAAATGGTGGCTACTTTCAGAGTTTTCTGCCCCAATCAGTTGACCACCCTTGGGAGGCTGCAAAGCTTTCCTGGCTGGCTGTTGCTGGGCTTTGGGAAGCCTAGCAACAGCCAGACTACATACAAAGGTGGAAGCTTCAGGACAACCTTCCTAAAACTTTTCCCTTGCTTAACTCCCCCCCCCCCCCCCCGAAGCCCAATTTTTTCAATAAATAAAACAAAAAAGCTGTGAGCGATAGACAACTTTCTCCCCCTGAAGCTAACACCTTTGCATGCACATGTGGCTTCCCAAAGGCTAGCAACAGTCAGGAGAGTTTTGCAGCTGCTTGATGGCCAGCTGATCAGCAGCCGGAAAGCTCTAAAAGGTTAGGGAACTAGTTCTTCTTCTTCTTCTTCTTTTGCCACCAAAAGCAGGGCACCTTGATAGGAGGAAAAGCAGGAGAAGAAACAGGAAAGGCAGGCATCCACAGTGTTTTCCTTTCCCATTGTTTCTCGCTGCCAAGGCAGTCAGCTACATGATGGGCTGACTCTCAGGGTGAGCGGGGCCTTGGGAGGCCTGAGAAATGTGGGTCTGCACTGGGCCTCCCAGTATCTCCCCCACGTCTGAACTCCACTTAATGACCTGTGTATTCATTTAAGAAATGCACTAGGGAGAGCAGGGATGAGTGGTCATTACTTGAGGCGTTAACATTTGCTGTTATTTCCAACGGTCATGGGCAGGCTCCACTAGGGTCATAATTTGAGGACTATCTGTAATTCATAATGCTGACATCCCCTTTAAAACTCTTCATCGCCTACGGCTTGTGTATCTTTACAATTATCTATTCCTAGTAGTTTCTGCCCATCTATTAAACCCAGAAAGAGAGGAGTTTATACAAATCCTCTTCTCTGACATAGTGACATCTGCTGGATCTGTGGAGGATAGACTTCTATGTTGCTTCCCCTGATCTCGGGAACAAGGTTCCCCCAAATATTTGATCAATGGTTTTGCTCCTAAGTTTTTTTTTTAAAGGTCTATCTATCTCTGTCTCTTTCTTAGTTCTCTGTGTCCCTGGAAGAGTGTCTTTGGAACTTGGTACTATATGTTGTAGAATCATAGAATTATAAGGATGGAAGGGACCTTGAAGGTCTTCTAGTCAGACCTTCCGCCCAAAGCAGGCGACCTTGTATCCTTCTGGAAAAATGATTCTACAATCTCTTCTTTAAAATGTCCAGTGATGGAGCATCCACAAGGCAAGCTATTCCGTTGATTAATTGTTTTGTCAGGAAATTTCTCCTTAGTTCCAGTTTATATTTCTCTTTAATGAGCTTCCACAAATTGCTTCTTGTTCTACTCTCAGGTGCTTTGAAAATAAGTCTACCTCCTCTTCTCTGTGACAGCCTCTTAAGTACTGGACAACAGACAGCTGTCATGTCACCCCCAATCCATCTCCTCACTAGGCTAGACATTAATCATTCATCATAGTTTAGTTTATCCAGAACCTTTATCATTTTTGTTGCTCTTCTGTGCCTCTAGGGCTTCAGCATTTAATTATTTATTTATTACATTGTGGTGACCAGAACTGGACTCAGTATTGCAAGCATGGACTCACTAGTGCAGTGTAGAATGGTAGTATCACTTCTCATGATCTATTGATGCTAACCCTCTGTCGATTCTAGTCTAGGATGGCATTGGCTTTTGGGGAAGTTGCAACACACTGCTGCTTATACTTAAGTGGTGATCTCATACTTAAGTGGTAGGACGTTAACATCCCACTCACAGTTACAATAGTTGAGCCAGGTATCACCTATGCTATACATTAGCACTTGGTTTTTCCTGCCAAGTGCAGGACCTTACTTTTCTCACCATTGAACTGCATCTTTTGGATATTTTATTCCTCTTCGCAGCAAATAAATTGTACATGAATTGTTTGCTAACCATGCCTGGAGTATCTATATATTAATCCAATACATTAATTCCTATGTATTGTTTGACTGCTGTATTAATATATATTGCTCAGACTCTACTATAATTGGAACAATCTGTAAGCCAAGTAATAACTAAGGCATATCCGGCAGGTAAGATATGTGCTAAATGTGCATATATCCAATATCAAAGAAGCATTGAGAGAGAAAGTCCAAGTGTACTAGTCATCAACTAGCAACACAATATTCACACATATGTGCCTCTCTGCATTTGTAGAAGACTAGGTCTGTTATCCCCATATTGAAACTCCATGAGCAGTCTAGCTAAGCAGTATGTATTTAATGTTCTCAGGACAATATCTAGCCCACAGCCATGGGAATTGCTAATAGCAATTCCCAGTGAATTGGCTTGCATTGTTTGGAGAGAAGATTGGATTTTTATTATCCTGTGAACAAGTCAAGAGGAAAATATTATGGTTGGATTCCCTTTGCATGCAGGCAATCTAATTTTGCAGGATTAATATGCAAGTAAAGTTCAGGATCTGGCAAGTATTCAAAGCTTCAGCCTACCTCATAAAGTCTCAGGTCTTTTTCTTGAACAAGCTTTTTCACAAAAGATGCAATGAAAAGTATCCAAGCAGCCATTAATGTAAATGGAAGAGAGTAGGTCACACTAGTCAGAAACCTGTAAAAGCAAAGTAATTACTTAGGTAAATACAAAGTAGTTTCCCTTTGTGAATTATAATTAAGATAATTTTCAAAATAACATAAAAGCCTTTGAACAGTAAAAATGTTTTCTCTCACACAGCCTATAATTAAAAAGTGTTTGATCATTTTAAGAACAGAATATATTTTGCTGTATGCAACTTCAGCCTTCTTTGACAAATATCTCATCTTTCCTCATTCTCTAATCACACTGGTACAGAGATATGAACTTTTGTACTGCAAAACATTGCACAATACAATATGTATGGCTACTTTGCATGATTCCTGATCGTTGATTTGATTTTTCTACAGCGCTGCAAAATCTTAGAAATAGCTGAAGTAATATGGTCCAGAAAAGCCAAAGTCTATTGTTTTGTATTTCAATACTCCCCCTAAAATTCAATATCTAGTTATATGTTCAAAATATCAGCATATTGAAGTGATTAAGAAAATAATGGAATGTGCAGAAATGAGCAGATTAACATTAGCAATTAGAGAGCAAGAAGAAAAAGAATATTATAAAATATGGGATTTATTCTATCAATGGCTAAATAGAAAAGTAGGAAATTAAAGTATAATATAATAGTAATAATATGCTGATTATCTTTGAATGAAATATAATACGAATAAAAATTAGTAAGAATTGGGATGTGCTCTAAAGGAAAATATGAAATTGAAATTAAAGTCTAATGATTATATAGTAACAATATAATATCATATGGAAAGTTAACTAATGGAATATGAATGTAAATTTAAGAGGAAAAGACTATAGATATTGTGCACAAGACATATGTACCAACCGACACACTGTACAATTGAAAGTTTTATTTGTTGTTTTATGTATTATGTTTTGTGTTTGTTGTTAAAAATAAAAAACTTTATATATATAAAAAACATCAGCATATTAATGCTCACATAGCACTTTACAACTTTGCATTTCATTAAAGATTCTGTCAGATGCATGTATCTGTCATTTCTTCAGTGGAAGAAGAAAAAGGGGGGGAGAGACTGATAAAGAAATCCTTTCTTGAAGTAACTTGAATACATTCAATCTTATATCAAATTTGTATAACCCACACATGATACAATGGAGAGAGGAATCCCAGATGGCTGGAACCTAACACCTCTGAGCGGCACAGCCAGGAGATGAGAAGACCATAAAAATTCCAGTGAGATGTTTGCTTGGGAAACTGTGAAAAAGATTGTTCCTTTAGAAGGGGTGGGGGTGGAATAAACATACTGGCTTTTGTTTCACAAAATACACATTGAGAGAAGGGGGGGGGTTTCTAAACTCCCTTATCTATCCCAGTATGCCTGAGAGACATTAGACGCTGCTTTTAA